CTATATGAAAGGAGAGCCTAGAAGGGCACGATATTAAAAGGCTTAGAAGTGTCGGGCCCGAAAAGCCTCTGAGCATCTCGGTAGCTCGCCCACTTAAGCGTTGTATTAAGGGCACTTTCGGCTTAAGGGCGACCGTATATTATCCAGCCATCCTTATATGAAGGAAGAATTTTATATTTGCTTTATGTTTTTATAATTAGACACAGGCGTGTACATGTTTCAGTAGGTAATTGGAGGTTTGAAAGTGATACTGTTGCGATTAAAAAATACAAATGCATATCATTTTATAGACAAAAATTTTAACGGTTTAAAACGTGAAATATATTAAATTACTTAGTAATAATCGAGGGTAGGAAAGCGATGCTATTAATAGAATTAAATTAAGGTATTTAAATAGTCTTTTGCAGGCAAACATGTTAATGGTTTCATACGCAAAATATTTATTGAACCTATGTTTCTACTACATCCATGACTACAGCAAACCATCCAAAACGCCAGGTCGTTGTTTTTAACGGTCAAAAAAGGGTAAAAAAACGTGTGTACGTCATAACGAATCGTTTGCTAGCTAAAAGTATTTCTAGTTTGAATTTCATTTCATTTATATTTATAGATACATTAATAGAACGAGATATAGCGAGGAAAATTTTATTTACAATAAAAATTTCAAATGAAAAATTCTGTAATAGAGGTACGTATATTATGTAAAAATGGAAAACATATTATGCGAAAAATCAATTCAGTGGCAGAGACAGCGAGTAAAGTTTTTTTCTCGACAAGATGAACTGTCGACTATTTTGGTAGTCTTTTTACGAAAATGATATTTAGCCTTGACTTTTAGATTACAAAAATTAATTAGAAGTATTTAACTATTATATAAACTACTGAAGTGTATAAATAAAGGCGGCATTATTGCTAAAAATCGATCTCTTCCAGGCAACCAAGTGTGAAGGGAAATCACAAAAGAATTACACTATGGGTAGGATGTGGAAAAGAAAAGCAAGTAAGAACTGAAAAGATAAAATTATAAATCTAACGTTTCACACGTCCGGAGAGATTTAAATTTCCTGTTTACTTACTTACATATAAAAACAGACATATCTGCTGTTACTGTCTGTTTTTACATTCTGAGTGCGAGCATATTTGTTCAAGCTGAAGAGAATAGCACCCTGTAATGACTCTTGCTCTTTGTAAGGCTAACTTCTTACGTACATTGTCCCGACTAACAAAGCGGGGCGAACTGGGACAATAGTTGCCATGTTGAATAATATTTCTATCTTGGGCATTAGGAATCCTTACTATATTCTGTTCTAGTTTTTCTCTATCTGTGTATGTATTTATAGATTAACTGTGCTAAGTAGTTTTACTGCTATACTAATTGCAATAATTACTATATTATATGAAACCCTTATTTCTATTACGTGTCTATCCAAGCATACTTCACCGACTTACCTTTCATTCATATTTTTATTACCAATTTGAAAAAAAATTAAGACAGATGAAATTATCTTGAGTGTAGTCTGCGATACTCGACAGCACATCTTGATTAAGAAATGTTCAGTAAAAATAAAAATGCACATTTTTGCATTATTTATTTTCATCCCTTGCTTATCTGTCTATAAAAAACACTATTCAACGGTTTAAAAATCAACTGTGTTTGCTGCAAAGCATCACGTGTTCTACTTAGACTATTTAATTTCTGGTAAGAATTTAATAGGTATCATCCAAATCAAATTGCTCCCCCCATTTCAAAGCAATAGATAAACGCGAGCTTTACAAATCCTCCCCTGCTATTATCAAAATTGACCTGTAAGCCGCACCTTTATCGAAATCATATTTCGACAACAAAACACCGCCCCCGATGACGCGGACGCAACTTAATCAAGCAATTAATTCTTAATTGAATCATATCCCCATGCCCCATCACTGACTGCGTATGACGAGAAGCGCTCTTACTTACAAAAAATGCTTATATTCCTATTTTAATTTAAGAAACAGTAAAAGTACTTTTATTTTCTACAAGGTTAGTGTAGTAGTTCTTAGTAATTACTAAGTTATTAAATTAAAGTATTATAATAAAAACTATTAAATAAAGATGTGACATGTGCTTATACTGTAAACGAAATAGTCGCACAAGATCGCGAACCGAAAACTAAAAAAAATATCTTTCGTTTTTTTTGTTATTTTATTTTTTTTAATACATAAATTATTCTCAATTATTGTACTGAGTTGCGAGAACCCTTGCTATTTATATATAAATAGCTATTCCTCTTACCGTACATAAGACTCACCGCGTAATTATCTACGGCAGAATTATTTCCGTTCGCTGGCACACGGCACACCGCCGAGACCGTTGATCAGTTAACTTTAAAGCTCATTAAAATTGATGGTTCATTCTGTACGTGTAAAACGTCCGTGCCGGCGGAAAATTAAAATGATACCCGCGGCCTCTGGCAACTGGGGCGTGAGCGAAAACTTGCATTTCACATGTTCGGTCCGTAGCAAAAAGTTTATCATTCGAACGGAGATATGTAGCGTTTTATTTTAAAACACGACGTGGAAATTTCCGAACGTGACAGAGCTACCGTCCGATTAATCTACCGGACGAAATCTCGAGAGGACAAAGCTACACGTAGGCAGGGGACATTCGTGCATGCTAAATGCTGGATGAATAACGCCGTTATCATAGAGAGCCAGACAACCGGACCACAACCCGATGCTAAATACCCGAGTGTAATGTACTTACGACGGGTGTCATGTCGAGATTTGCTTTATGGAATGCTGACTCGTTGATTGAAATTGTTGACAATACGGGAAACATTTATTCCGGGCCAGTTTGCGCGCGGCTGATAAATAATTCAATGTGAAATTCGGAACGCAACCTTTTAATGTAGCCCCTCGAAAACGGAATATATAATCGTACATCATTTTCGGACGTTGGTTCTTTGTGCGTTCCTTTTTTATATTAATCTACTTTTCCGTTACTTTTCTGGACTTCAAATAAATATGTAACGTATAACTGAACGTTAAAACGGGCTTTAATTTAAACGCTATAGTTATTTTAAGTGACATGCCCTTTTAATGTGAAATTAATTATGTCTCAGTAGATCCAGTGATCCAGTGATCAAAACATTGTTTAGATAGAGATAATTTAAATCTTTGAAAAATAGGAGCTTTTAACTCATGTTAAACCTTTAATTTGTCGTGTTTGTTTTATAATCTACTTGGAGAGGCCTCTTGTCGTGCCGCGCTTAAAGGATGAAAAATGAAAATTCAAAGTAGTAATTAAATTATTTTATTAAAAAATAGGTTTGTATAGACCATTACAAAATTAAGTTTTAGGTCGTTATTGTGTTTTAGCCTTCAATTAAAGCAAAAGGATTACAATTAGAAATAATCTCAATTATTCACATCAAAAACTTATTAACCAAATGAATACGGGAGTCATAATAATAAAGTTACAATGCCCGAAGAACTTCACTAACTTAATTCCAACGTGGTTTTCAATTTGTCGAGCATGACAATTGATAATTTTCATTTCTCTCACAATTATTGGATTAAAAACGTAGTAAAACACTAACTTTCGGGACAAAAATTAGTTTTTAACATTTAAATAAAACGCGTCAGTCTCCGACTGACGCGTCTACGACTCGGATGCTTTGCAGCAGTCTACGACTGCTGCAAAGCATCCGAAACGTCGGGCCGAAGCTAAAAACAATTTTCAAATAAGTTTGACTAATATATATCGCATTTTAAAATGTCCAAGTGTATTATTTAAGTGTGTACTACTCGCCTACTGACAGTATTTAGTTTTTAACATTTCAACAGTGTCTTACCGAGTTACATATCTGAAACAATACTATGCATTTAACTTGGTTCGAACAATTGTGATTATACTGCGTCATTATAAATATTCTTTACAACATCTACACAGAAATTTCGAGGATAGGAACTAGAAGAATTAACTCAATTAGCGTGTTCTTAATTCACTATATTAGAAGTCAGTAGTTAGTGAACATTGATAATAACTGCATTTTCTATATTAAAATATATATGCCTTTACAGTTAAACCAAGTGTTACGATATAATTTTCAATATCGAAAAGCTTTTTTCTCTATAAATTAATTTTCCATATATTTTTCAAAATGCCCCATAAATAAAGTTAACCTTAGAAAATAATTAAATAAATATCCCTTCAATGAAAGCAATACAATTTGACACATTTTTACGTCCAAAAGCCTAGGTCAACACTTCGATACCTAAATACATGATATGCAATACAAATCGTGCTAATTGTCATTATAACAAGTGATTATATAACTCATATCACATTAACTTACGTAGATTAAAACTTTTTGTAGAAGCATTGAATTTCTCACAACTCGAATGTTACTTTGTTCTTAGGAAATTACTTATGGCACATTAAATAAAACACGCTAGCTACCAACAGAATACATTAGAACAGTTATCTAAATTTCAAGTCGATTTGTGCTTTAGTATACGTTTAACAGTTCCGAATCTAAACTGCGCTAATATGTTTTAGCCTAATCACACTTTGCTAATTTCAGCTACTGTTCGTGAGAGACCTGCTACTAAGTCAAGTATATACAGAGTACACTAGGGTTAATCCAAATTATTGCCAAGCGTTCAGTTTCCAGTGTCTAACGAGACCTAACCTAATGATATATGATTTAAAATTCGTTTATCGATATACAGACGGACACATAAACTTTATCAATCCCCACTTTAGTCCAAACATACAGCTATATACATTTTTACAGTTATTTACACATTAGGTTATAACAATAGACTAGCTTAATCTTCCATAAAATATAAATAATTCCGTTCTCTCTCACTTAGGTTAAATTAGTGCCGCGAAATTAAACTTAGGCTTGAAATAAACAGTCTTTAATACACTGACTCACTGTTACAAGTGTAGCTTGACTTCACATTGTTTAGACGTCCGTTTGGCACAAATCGCCGAAGGCCGGCAGAGCTTGATACTACCGCGTCACTGAATCGACCCGTGGATGAGTAGGAACCGAAGTTGTGAGCGAAGACTGAGTATTGGCATTCGTGTGTCTAAACGATGTAAACCTAGCTAGTGTTCGGGTGCCGTCGTTGTCGAAATTAGGCCGCTCGTATTGATGCTTGGCTCTCTTCTGAGGCTGCATCGCTTGTAGTTCATCATAACCACCGTTCTCATCATAATTTTCATCATCTGTTTCGTCTTCACCGAACGCTCTATATGTCGACTCGGTTTCAGAATTCTTCCTCGAGCTAACTCCGTATGTCCGTCCGATCAAGGACTGTGTTACGTCGATATTCACGTTTTTATCACTTTTCCTATCATCGACACTTTGGTTGTACCTTAATTGTGCTTTTTGTGTTTTCTCTAAGGATGGGATGTCGTAAAATTTAAGAACATTTGGGTGGCCTTGGAAATATTTTTCGCTGTATACGTTTCTATTGTAGTAACCTCCGTTACTGGCTGGATATAGTTCTTCGTCTGGTGCGTAGCGTGCATCGAAGCTGTCAACGTTCTTTCCAGCTGGTGGAAACCAACCCTGTTCACAAAAACTATAATTAGTTACAGAGCGGATGTAAAAACTGTGTGACAAGTTTTATGCAACTCACACTAATAATTAACGCCTCTAGCGGAGTAAATAAGATACATATCCAACATTGATCATTGAGTGAGTAGTTTTATATAATATAAAAAAAGTGTAAGTTTATAAAGTTAGGTATCAAATCAATTGATAAAGTAAATAACGCGGTAACTTTATAAACGTCACACAGTTTAAAAAGGCTAAGTTTACATTTACTACAAGTACATCTTACTATTTAAATTGTGTAAAAAAGTAATTGTGGCGTATCAAAAAAAATATATTTCGTAAATAATACTAATTGGTAGGTTCAGTTTGGTTCTTAGGTTTAAAATTTAATAAATGATTTAATATTATTGTAAAGTAGCAATAAAAAGTATTTCAACGTCAAAATCTCCGTTAAAACTTAATAAAAGAAATAAAACATTACATAGTAAATATTGAACAAAAATAAATTGCTGGAGTTCCATACCAAAGAACTGACGCACTGCCGTGTGTTGGCTACAAGTGTGACGGAAGCATACGCCGCTGGTGACGTGGCAGTTTTGCTCGTATTCCATTCGTTCCCATTAACCCTGGACGCGGTGACCTCAGCATATTCGGGTAAAGGATGAGCAACTTTATCATAATCAGAGTTCGTTTTCTCCTTACTTTGACTCGATTGGTTAGACATACACAGCCCTGGCTGATTTTCCATCCACAATAATGACTCCGTTTTCGTCACCGTGTTTTTATTATAACAACTACTTAATGGATGGGACAACGATACCGCTGCTTTTATGTTCATTTGAGTAACCAAACTTGTCCCATTAGAGTCTGAAACAAAAGTTATCATTAATAATTATAAAGTAAATGTAGCTATTGTTAACGGATTTAATGACCGACAACAAAACACAAACATTAACATTTGCCGGCTCTTTATTTTGGATTTGTATCATTCCTTTGTGCCTGTATGAATGTAAAGTGAAAGAGATCCACTGCGCCAGTGAGAGGGCTCGTACTACCTTTCAACTCGAAAGTAATCTAGCACCCTCCCGCTCGCATGGCAAAGCCTCCATCAAACAAACGCTCGCACCCTTACCACCCTGCGACACCCGAGGAATGTTTTTAATTTTGAAATTCTGATCCTAGGGAAAAATGTAAACTCGCGCGATAAGCTTTCTAACCTTTGTTTCTATTTTTTTTTGTATCCTTCGTATTTTAAATCACTCTTTTGAACACTCACCGTAAATATTCGGGAGCGCAGACTTTTTCGCGAAAATATTGTTTCGCCGAATGTAAATGATTCCAGCTATCATAATCACTTTGAAAAGCACAATCGCTCCGATCAAGAAGTAAAACCACGACTCCAGTACAAAGTCTCCAGCTACGATGGACACTTCTCCGTTGTTCGGATATCTAGGAAAACCAAATAAATTTAAATTCATTTATTGAATTTTTTTTTTGATCGGCTCTATGGTATGATGATAGCAGTGTATGGCTATCAACGGGTCGTGGATTCGATCCCCACCGGGTCCAACATATTTCAACTTTTTCAATTTATATTTTATTCTGTAATATATTGGACGTCTGTAAATCTAGATATTAAATGGGAGGTAGAAATATCGAAATTCCGTCCGGGTCACGAACCCCCGTCGACAGATAAAAAATCCTTAAAGTTTGATTGCGTTACGGTTTCAGTCTGTAGAATACCGAATATCCACAGATAATAAATGGCTGGGGTACTCCACCTACCATGAAGTGACCTATCTCCATGCTTATCTGTTCTCTATCATTAATAATTTATTGAGAAAGTCTTTAAAAACTACAATTTCATACCTTGACAAAGGATCCAGTCCTATTGATCTCGAGTCAATATTAAGGTACACTTTCTGGCTGAAAGGACCCAAGCCTATTACGTTTTCTGACGCTATCTGCACTGAATAGCTCACGCCGGACGTTAAATTTGTCATTATGAGGCTGGTCGCTTGTTGGACGGTGGTGTTGATTGCAATCATTGACTTATTTGCTGGTATATCGAGCCAATTAACCACTACATTGTAACCAGTAATGATGCCATTCTGCAGATGAACTTCCGGCGGTTGCCATTTTAAATGAACCGTTGTCATGTTCACGATAAACATTTCAATATTCGTAGGTGGCCCATCTGGTACTAAAAAATTACACATGATTAGATGAAAAATTTAATTAAAAGTTATCAAATTGAAATATGAAAAAAATAAATACCATCTTCCAATGTTTGCGCTATTCTAGAATTAGACGGCTTTCCTTCGAATCTTTTATAAAACGGTACAAGGAAAAACTCATATCTCATATATTTTCGTAGAGACGTTATTTCATATCCAGACACATCGTTGGAATGCAAAATAGTTTTCATATCGTACTCGGCCGTCGTATTGTCTAGGGGTCTAAAGTATATAAATAATCCTTCCAAGTAGAAGAAGTTTAATATTTCCCACATAAGTTTTATCGTCGTCGCATCGATCGGTGTCGCTTCTATGAGTTCGACGATACTATCTGTCATTATATTTTTCCTATACTCGGTATTGTTTGAAAATAATCCGTTCCAAATTGATGAGTCCTCTCCTACTGTGACCGAATCGGATATAGGGCTGGGACCCGACAGGCCGTGCGAATTCTCCGCTCTCACAATGAACATGTAAGTGATGCCGGGTATTAGAGATCTAACTACGTAGTGGGTTTGATGTACTTTCTTAGCAACAATAACCCAACCTCTCGAGTTTCGCGGCGTATTACTTCCCGATAGCGACTCTCTCGAGAATACTTCAACCTGATATCCGAGTATGGAGGATGATCCAATTTTGTTATTTTGATTCCAAGATATTGTTACGCTGTTATCTGTTATATTATGAATGTGGGGCTTCGTCGGAGGCCCGGGTAGAGCGGATACATCGGCGGCTCTAAAGAAATTAATATTTGGATTCTTTGGATTGTCCACGGTCAAGACGCCGCTCCAAACGTACTTTCCGTGAGGCGAAGACGCGACGCACGTGTAAGTTCCGCTGTCGATTCTGTCCATTTCCTTCAAAATAAGGGTGCCGTCGTTGGAAATGTTGCGTCTATGGTTTTGTATTAGAGCTTCCCCGTCAAAATACCATGCAATGACCGGCTCAGGTGTACCTATCGCGGTGCAGGGGAAGACTGCCATTGACCCTATAGGTAAAGTTTGGTTAGAGGGGCCGTTTGTTATTATTGGAGGTGGGCGGTCATCGTCTGACGTCACCGTTAGTTTTCCTCTAACGAGCGCGCTGCCGGCGAAGTTCACCGCTGAACAAACTATCGTATTGCCACTATCGTTTTTATTTGTTCCGTTTATTGTCAATGTTGTGATACCATCTATAATGGGCGACGCGTTATACTTTCCGCGTGACATGCCCGGGAATATGATTGTTCTATTTCCTTCTAAGCTCCAGAAAAGGGTTGGCTCCGGTTTGCCTTTCGCGGAACATGTAAAGGTGGCACTTGTTCCGCTTTCTACAATTACCGAGTTTGGTTTTAATGTTATGCTTGGCGGATCTGAAAAAAATGTTATGGCTTTTACAATTGATTATGCTTCTGTTGAACATTTTTTCTTATAATTAGGCAATAAATTACGCCTATTACAAGAACTTACAAATAATATTTTAATAAGCTTACCCAAATGACAAGGTTATATATTAAAGGTGCGTAAAACAAGAACTGAATTGACTTATCCAGGGATGAGGGTGTGTTTTTTATTATATATGTATGTATGTGTAAGAGTAAGTAAATGTATGTTATTGTTTTTTAAAGGTGCTAATTAGGGTTTTTTTTAAAGATGGACGGGCGGGCAGTCGATAAAGATCGATGTTTTAAGTAAAAAGTGAAAGCGTACGGAACGTAAAAAAGATTTGTATGTCTAGTGCGAAGGCTTGGGACTTGAAAGGAGATATTACGCAATATGTTCGGGCAGTCAAGTTTATTATGGAGAATGTCGTAAAACATCATTAAGTAATGGAATACGAAAGTAAGCGGCTTTCAACTCCCCTAAAATTGTTCGGTAACTGGCATTATCTATTACTACACTTGTATATATTTGTAGTAGTAGAGAATATAGTAGATATTGATTGATACTTAGTGAAAAAAGTTTCTAATTACGCGTTTACATCATCTATCTCGTTTTGTAGGCCATTATAAAAATAAGCGAATAATACCGACTCACCATACACAGTCAAATAACCGCTAGCGCTGACAGCGCCGACTGCATTGTCAGCCTCACAAGTGTACTCCCCTTCGTCTGCTAAAACCACGCCGTCAAGCCTGAGGCTCCTGTCATCCAGGAGCTTGACGCGGCCGAGTGGCATGTTGCCCCCACCCGCCGTCCTGCGCCACAACACGTCAGGTAAGGGGTCACCTCCCACTCGGCACTGGAACGTCACGCTGCCGCCGGTTTGAGCGACGACGTCTTCGGGCCCCGCGATCAAATACGGTTTAACTGCACAGTGAAAGATTCAATGAATGACATGGAATAATAAAATGGGGCGCTTGTTGCAGCTAATTATCTTCTACAATTAGTATATTATGGCGTATTTCAATTCATGTATGTGTTATTCTATACTAATATATAAAGCTGAAGAGTTTGTTTGTATGTTTGTCATGGACAAAATATATGTTTACAATGGTAGCAGGTTTTTAGTTCCAGTTTTTATGCAGTCGACTTCTAAAAACATTTCTATCTATAAAGTTAGTAACTCACTATGCACTCTTAAAGTTGCTGTAGTAGATTCTCTAGTACCAGCTGCATTTCTGGCAATACACTGGTATCTTCCAGCATCTGTCTGTCTCGCGTCTTGAATAACAAGGCTACCTCCATCCACCAAGTGCATCCTATAAGGGAACGTTATAAGTCAAAAGACAAAAGAAATTTAACTTTCATTACAAACAAAGCATATAGTAACAAACTCATTGTAATATAGGGCGGAATTATTCAATAGAAAATTAACATTTAATAGGGGGTCTGAGTCAGAACTATTCAGATTTTTGCTTGATTGCTTGTCGAGCTCTTCAAATATCCCCTTCTTTATAACTTTGATGTACCCTCCCCATGTTAATTATTTTTATGCTTCATATACGTGTGTAGCCTTGAGATTCAATCTTGCGTTCGATAAAAATTCATAGACAACGAATTGAGCGAAGAATTTAATATTGGTGATTAAATTTCCAATTCAGGTTTGGAGGGTACTTTTATAATAAATTGTAGAAGTTTGTATTTACTAAAAAGGATTAGTTGAGCTAAATTAAACGAAAATATGTTCCACAAGACTATCGCATTTCCGACACATTTTATTTGGCAAGTGCTCTCTACGACCCTCGATATCACGATACTTTGTAATGGAGTTGTTATTTTGATTTCAAAGCGCAACTCTGTTAGATATTTAAATACCTCAAAACTGGCGTGCTTTATTTAATTATTTATACATTTTATTCATATTACTACAAAACTCTTAAAATTACAGCAAAAAAGTTTTTTGTAGTTATTAAAATATTTATAATGCTTTTGAATTAAAAGGTAATTTAGGAAACTAATCTTATTTGCACACAGGATAAAAAATTATTACTTTAAAAAATAATTTTCAGACTACACTGTTATTATGGAAACAAATGTAATAAAGAATTTTATATACATATATATAGTAACATATACCTACTTCTTAATCCGAATAAATCACTCAGCACTTTTTTATTTTATTTTAATGCATATAGTAGTTTGTAATCACTGTTTTTCTTACCTAGAATCTCCGTCAAAGTGTAGTATTTGACCATTTTTCTTCCAGTATACCGTTGGTTCAGGAGAGCCCCGTGGTGGCAAACATTCTAATATAACCGTTTCTCCTTGAGCCGTCTGCGTGGTCACAGGTTCGAGACGGAACTCTTCGCGAAGTACTGAAAAAGAAAAAAAAACTTAAAACCCAGTCACTAAAAAATTCAAACCATTCTTTTTTGTATAAATCACACATGTTTACAGTCCACAAGTTCATGTCTTTTAATCACAAAGTTTATCACACACTTCTATTATAGACTCAAAGTATTACAAAAGATATATTTTCTGGTTATGTCAAAGGCGAAGCAAGAAACGAAGAATTCCTTTCCTTTACAAGTTTTAAACTGCACGGCTGCTGCAAAACATCCGAAACGTTGGGCCGTGGGTAAAACATTTTCAAATAATTTTAACACATTCGTTCACAACGTTTCAAACCGTTAAAATATTTTATTTTAAATAAACTATAACATTAGTTCTTATTATCACTGTACATATAAACTAAGTTATTAAATAATATACTCACCAGCAACATGTAGTGTTGCGTTTCTACTTCTAGCTGTACCATAAGCATTGGTCGCTTCACACCAGTACACCCCTGCGTCTGAGTGCGCCCTGCCATGTGTTGCCCTCAGAAAGAACAGCCCTCCAGCAGGTAACAGACTTCTATGAGTGTCTGATACAACCAGGACACCGCCCTTATACCAATGGATTGTGGGGGGCGGAGAACCACCAGCTCTGCAGTTCAGCGTCGCTGGCTGATGTCTGGCTACAGTGACATCTAGCGGCTGCTCGATGATGTAGGGGGCTTCCCCGCTGCTTGGGTAGTCGTCGTTTACTCCGCCGTTAACTGAACCTATTAATTTAAAACAATATTTTTATGTTACAAAAAAGTACTAGAATAATTAGTCATTCTAAATTTACTAGCCAACAATACCTACGTATAATACTATATACCTACCTATACTGTCTGTATTTTACGCGAGTAGTATAGGTACATTTAAATAAAACACATTAACGGATTAAAACAAGATATATTAAAAGTATTTGAATCATCCTATTTTTGATATCAGTCATGTCGTCAGGCCTTATTTCAAATATTTTTCAAACAAGTTTAACTAATATAATTCGCGTTTTAAACCGTTAAAGTGTTTTATTTAGTTTTTCACACCGGTTTTACTAATTCTTAAATAAGCTTTTACTATTTTAGGAGTACCTGTCGCCCAAGTATATTAAGGGAACATACAGTGTAATCAGAAGTTACAGAGATGGGCAATACTATAATAATATCGCTCAATATTTAAAATGATCTTGTTTGAATGAAATTGTACTGAAAATACATTGTACGTTATAAAGCTAAGCTGTGAGGTAGAGGCAGACTAGGGACCGTTCAAGTTTTATTTCAAAAAGTAACAAAGGCACATTTTCTTTAGCGTACATTAATAATAGTGGAGCGTGTCGTTTATAGCTACTCTAAAACATCGCACAATAATAATGAACCGTAAACATAGGCTCGCCTGGATCCCCCAAAGGATGCTGTTGGACCCTCGTGTGTTTACAACGAAACGCGCAGATGTTAGTTTTTGACACTCGAATTGATGTATGTCTATTGTTACCACGGGGCATTATTAGCAGAGGTATCGATTTGCAAAAAATACTCGATTCCACTAAAAATGAGAACCGGTCGACTCGATTTTAACGGAATAAGGATTATGCTATTGTGCAAAATAATTGTGTTTATTTATTCACGTGTTCCAACATTGTGAGTGCGGTACTTTGCAAGGGCTAATCTATAATTGAATCTCCATTCGATCTGTTATCTTTCGATTTTTCGAAATTCCCTCGTGTGTTAGCTGCTATTACTCGTGGGATAGTGACCTATATAGGCAATCGCTGGTTTTAACTTAGCTGAATATATAGACCTACCTACATTTTTACAATCATTATCAGTAATTACTATAACACTTTTACCGGTTCAAAAAGTGAAATATTCCTGACGTTATTATCGATGGCTAATTAGCTAATAAATTTACAAATATTTTTCACGTTATAAAATAGTAACTTTTTTGTATGTCTTAGTGTAAACTACCAGCAATTTTTGTAAAGAATATATAATAACATCGTAATATCGTCCTTTACTTAATAACTTCATTATCATTTTAAGAGTCAATTGTTGTCTTCAAAATAGGTGGAACTTCGATATCTCTATTCATATAAAGACCCATACCATAGATACCATAGTCTAATACGTTTCAGGATATTTATAAATCGACTTTTAGAATCATCTGGCGGAAATCAAACCCTTATTCCGTTGATTGTTAGATCATTGCCACCACCAACGAGTCTATCCAAGCGTCTTGCAACTTTGTAAAATCGCATTAATTTAGCTCTAAGCTTCAATTAATTAGTAAACCAAACCGAGTATTAAAAATAATTTTTATAGCGTTTAGTATCCGTAAATCACGTGCTAAGCCCATAAAAAGACATGTCTACCGAGCGATGAGATAAAAAAGGTTGCGGAATGCACGATATAAAACATTATTTTACGTTGATCCCGATACATTATTTTATCGAACATAAAACTTGGTTTATTGCTCCGCGCGTTTGAAGTCGATCGATTATCGGATATGGAAGAAGTTTCCGTGTGCGATATCGTAAGGAAGCGAGCGTAAAAACGCTGGATTAGCTAATTACGTTGACTTTCCGTTCCATTTTAATGCACGTAACGTTATATCGAGATTACAAAATGTACGTTGAGGAAACTCGCCTACTGTGATAGTGGTCTGAAAGTATTTAACTCTGCATTCTACATGACATGCTAATACACAAATTGATACCTCACTTAAGACCTTTGGTTTAGGATATTTAAAATCAATGAATTACTATTAATATATAATAATAGAGAGTTACTACTATTAGACTGCTACTAAGAACTGCCATGCATTGCATATACAATGAATGTTTGGAAGAATAAAAGCTGTTATTTACTTTTTTTTATATTAAATGTATTTAGATAATAAAATATTGACACGGACGCAATTCAAACCTATGTGTGTTTTGTACTTTAGCTTTTTCCACTTGATCAACTGCATTAAGCCAAAATGTGAAAAAACACGTGAAAGTAAATTTGATACTTTTTCATTTTAATAAAACATATTTAATGGATATTTTTTTCGTTAATTCCTTTTTTGCTTCTTTACTACTGCAGCGTACGAGGTTGTATATTAACCAGTAAAGGTTTAATTGTAGTTAAATTTCAATGCATATTGTCACAAAATGAATGTTCTACTGCTCCTAGTCTAAGCTTATTTACTTTCTCGCGAGTATTATATATTTCATTCAGCATGGTCTTTGGCAGATTAATGAACTGGCGCGAAAGTGTTATAATAGCAATAACGTATAACGATAAAGCGTAACGCCGAAGGGAATGATTTTAACTCGCACGCGCATAGTTACGGTCCATTGTTCGAAACTTTCGTAAAAAAATTGCGAGGGTGCGTCGTGTCCCCTGCTAATTTATACTTCAGCACATGTTGACACGCGTCGTGAGAGAAAAATAAATAAAAAAACAGTCACTAACATGGCTACAGCATTAGCTTTAACCCGGCGTTAGCACGGTGAAATAAGTTGCTCTGATCGTAGCGTTGGGTCTCCTGGACCGTACGATCGAGAAAATCGGTTTTAATTTCAGTGAGTTTAAAGTCGTTTTCTTCTTTAAGTCACTTTAATTAAATATTATTTACGTTTGTTGGTAATATGTCGATAAATTGAAAGGTCATAATTAAATTAGTAATATCGTATATAATTGTAGCACTCAATTGAATTAATTAAATGAGTGTACAATAGTATTGTAATACAACAGTATTATAGTTTTTACTTATATTAAGAAATGGGAGTCATTTTAACCACAATTAAATTGACCATAACGTATATACACTTCCTTGAAAGGGGATTCTTATTATAAGCCAAAGTATGTTACTAGTTTTACATTATTATTGATATGATGAATAACATTATTATTATAACAATTTCTATTATGAATATCACTATGAAATAATTGATTACGTGAATTTTAATATGTCCCTAAACGTATCTTTACGGATATTTGTTTTAGAAAGTTGTACTTAGTAAGTACAGATAGTAAATCGTTTTTAATGGCGTAGACTGTTTACACTTTTCGATGTCCGATTGGATTCACTTAAATCGCGTTAACAGCTGCTTTAAAAATCGTTTCCTTTGATTCTAAATCTGTATCATTTGCAACGTATCACAAATTTGTCATTGATTCAACTTCAAACGGGCCACGCTATTTCTTTGATCGCAATGTTACGGATTAAGTCTTTGTGTAAGAAAAACTAAATTGATTGTTGTTCCCTAGTCTAGGACATAAATTATATTTAAGAGTTAAATAAGTAAGAAGAAATATAATTGAAATGAGCTTATAAAATGTATCTATGTTTTATTCGAATGATATGTGTAGTGAAATTTCACTATAGCCATATTCTATGATATATTATGCGTAGATCTCATACATTTCTACGTCTGTTTTATTGGAAGGTTGCACACGCTTACCCTGTCCGACGAAAACTATTTACTGTTTCGAAGGGCTTAGAAGTAAGAACCCAGGACCTTTCACGTTTAAAGCAAATAAAATTGGACGTAAACTGGTCTCTTTGTCTCTGTATTTAAAATCAGCATTGTCGTGTTAGTATCCAAATACTTATATATGGTGTTATTATGCCAGATTTCTATTATAGTGTCAAAATTAGGTTAAATTGTCTGCATCTTGAGAGTTGAATCAATAAGCAGTTTTTCCCCTAGCTGAGTACTTCGCAACTGTCACCCCAAGTAACAAGATAGCACTTTGATACGAATATCTAATTCTAATGATCGTCATTGGCACCAAAGGGAGGCAATCATGATTTTTCAAATTTCGAACACGTGTTCGATTTTGACCCCTTTTGGAACATGACTCTAAGGAGTCATTACAAAGTTGCGAACATTCGGTTATATATTATAACGAAAAAAATAATAATTGTAAGTCTAGTGTAATTGTAAGTGACTATCGACAATAACGGTTATTATATACAAAAAACATATACATATTTTTTATTATTATTAATTTTTTATATGTATAATAAAATGTATATTATAAAACTACAGAAGAGATATATACAAATAAATAGATAAATTAAACAAATTTTAATTTCTGGAAGTATAGACTGTCTGCCTAGTATTGCTGTTCAGCATCGTACAGACAATAATACTTAGTTTAAATAGTAGTGTTTAAAAGTAAAATTTTTGATTTAAAAATAAATCATACATGTCGCTTCAAGCAGAGTAGTAACAAAAATATCCCACACCGTTACGCTTAATGAAATAGCACTTATGTTTTACAGCACAAAAACACAGGCACACGTGTTAAAAATTATCCGCCTGAACGGATGGCCCGGATTACATTAATATGAATTTCGTGAGTTACTTTGTTTTTCTTCCAAGGCCCTCTAATGTAAGTTACAAATTGCTACGGTGTCATGTTTCAAGACCCATTCGTACCTGAAATGGGGGCCAATTTGCACAAACTATTCTGAACCTTATTGCTAAAGAAGGTATTTAATTTTAAAGTGGAAATCCGTTAAATTTGGTCCATAGGTAACGGAAGTAATCGGCCAGTTGCTGTGTTTACACACAGCGCGTGGGCAGATGAAATAACATATCGATGACTTGATCCTGCTGATTTGTATCTGTTACAATTTGCAAGATGTTTGACATGAGCATATTATTAAAATTAAAATACTGCTATACAAGAACCATTACTATTTTTAAATATAAACATTTACTAAAATCTAATATATAAAATTATCGTGTCACAGTTTTCGTTGCCATACTCCTCTGAAACGGCTTGACCGATTTTGATGAAATTTTTTGTGCTTACCCGGTATCTATGAGAATCGGCCAACATCTATTTTTCATCCCCCTAAATGTGAGGGGTAGCCCGCCCCTAATTTTATTTTTTATTGTTTAGACAACATTTTTAATTTCTATTTTTTTATGATACAACATACAAAAATACATACAATCCTCAATTTTCACCCTCTTACGATCAACCCTTATTTTTATATGGCAAAACAACGTTTGCCGGGTCAGCTAGTTATTTTGTAAAATTGATAACGATATAATTTCCAAATAGTGGTCACATATAAGTATTACATAGACTATATAAATGTCAATACAGATGTAGATTTTGACAGGCCCGTTTGTGTAATGCTAGTAACGTATGGCTAATAATCAAAGGGCCATGGGTTTCAATGGGTCAACATGTTTGGACTTCATCTGGAATTTTGGATATTAAATAGATGGTAGAAATATTGAAATATCGTCGGCGTTACGAGCCACTGTTCACTCCAAAATCCATCAAGTTAAATCGCGTTTCAGTTTCAATTTGTGAATTTCCGAATATCCAAAGCCAAAATAGGTGTCCACCTATTTTGGATTAGGATATTCTAAAGCGCATCTTATTTAAATATTTTATGGCTTCGGTGTTTCACCTATCATAGAGTGAACTCAATCTGTCTCTATTGTAAAAAAATAGACTAAGTACTTACTTAGCACACCATTTAAATAAATAAATTAAATACGATGTTGACGTAGTTTAAAAACCAAACAGAATGAAGCTATAGATTACGTAAGACAGAATATGTACGAGCAAGCGGTACGCGATCCCAAAGAGTATCTGCTTTATTTGCTTCCGTCACCATTAATAAGATATATCGGCTTACAGATAAAAGGCTGTAGTTTGCACAACGAAAGCTATCTGATCGAGACAAACAAAAATGCGAATCGATCGGACCCAATGATTACGTTCTTTAAGCCACGTCTATGCGCACGCATTTTGCGATCTTAATTAAAGCTTTTAGAATCTTGAAAGGTATAATTTTAGCCGCGAGCTATTGTTGCTACTTCCGTTTCATTATTTTCAATCTAAGCATTCTAAAATGGGCGTCATATCACATATAGACGAGGGTCAAAAATTATCGATCGTAAAAGTCACTTTTGTTCAGCGCACTAGGAGATACGATCCATTTTTCATGTACGATATAATGGTGTGATTGTAGTACCCCAGACGATTGATTCTGTTTATTATTATTCCATTATTTCACGCGGCATCCATCATGAATTAGGCACAAAAGATAGTCGTCGTTTAACATTAGCTTAACTTCTTTACGGTTTGATAGCCGCCCGGGGCGCGCTTTTTATGTATCGATTCATAAACCACAGAGTAAAATTGTATACTAGGGTGATGAGCCCACAGATTATACAGAGTAAAATGGGCAGATGCGTCACTGAGCAACGCATGTGTATTTTGTTAGTCTAATGAGTTTAGTCAATAAGTTACGCTTTCTCTAAACGTTATTAGGCCCAGGAGAGTCGTTACGTGACGTTTGTCTGTTCGACATGGTTTTTACCGCGCTTTTATTTTGTTGCATACATTAAAGACTTTTTTATGAAAACGTTTATCACTAATGTAGACTATATTTTTACTTTATTTTATAAAATATCTGTAGTTGTTAGATATTAACTAAATGACTGTATATTCAGCACATTTAAATATTGAAATGTTCATACCAATTTTTTTATAGGCATTAGCGATATTTTTCACATTATTGCATTTATAAACTAGTTATTTACTCAATCCTTAATTTTAACACACACTTAGTTCTAACATACTCATTAATTACCAAATACCGTATAAATAGTCTATATATCACAACTATAAAAAAAGCATTATTACTAGACTTGCAACGAATATTCGGTTACTATTCGGTATTCGGCCTATTCGGCTGCTTTTATTATATTCGGCCGAATACCGATATCTACATATTCGGCCGAAAATACCTAAATAATATATTTTGTCATAGAGAAATAATTGGTAAAATGAAAAATTAAAATCGATTGCTTACGTATATACTTATTCATATTTTTGTTTCTGTTATAATCATATAAGTAGTCATTGGTACATAATTGGTGGAACCCTCACGAGGAAAAAATATACTCAAGAGAAGATCCAAAAGCCTTTCTGCGTTTCTTTACAAACACCAATACGTTTTTACCCTATTTACCTACCTTGTTTTTATTAGGACAGTTGCTTTAATTCTCTTGTAAGTCGCAGATCTCGTGGGCAATTAGTTTAGCTTGTAAGTTGTTTCGAAACCAAATCGATGATACTTATTTGAGGGAACTTCTGTCGACTGTTTGTACCGAACAACTTGGCCACGCTGAAGACAGATCTCTTTGACTCCCGAGAGGTCCACCTCTGCTCGCGTTTTGCCGATACCACAATTTTAACCTCACTCAACGCTCTCCTCGTTAGACCCAAATTATTTTTCGCAGATACTGGTATCAATAGAGAGAATTGTCTGATTTTTAAATTTTGTCCTAATGTAATTGATGCATACTCTATTGTTAAGTGTAATTCTATTGTGTACAGAAGTACACAATAGAATATTGGATAGAAATCCAATTAATGTAAGTGGCTATCGCTGTTTTAATTGTCTTTATAATAAATAAATAAATAAATAATACTATAATAGTAGTAATTGGTACATAATAATAACGAGTACGTTAGAACAAAACAAAGAAGCGCGAAACAATCACGTCTGTACAAGTTTTTGGAGCAAAAATCCAGCCGAATACTTTTGCCTAATATTCGGCTATTCGGTCAGGGGTCTCGCCGAATATTCGGTATTCGGTATACTGCCGAATATACTATTCGTTGCAAGTCTAATTATTACAAGTTATGGAGTGCAAACGACGGCCTTATCGCTATCGAGTGATCTCATTCAGGCAACCCCTTATTTGAAAATAAGGTATATCATGGGAAAGCAAAACAATACATAAGAACACAATGTTCAGTGTAATGTTAAAAAGCACGAATTACATTGTAATTCATTAAATCGATGAAAAATGAAAATACTTTATGAAAGAACATATAATAATGGATATTAAATAAAGACAAACCGTATTTTACGTTCACTTTCGAAAGTCATGCAACAAGTTCTGAATTCTAAAACAATAAACCTATTACAGCCACAATTAATGGCGATATTCTCCTAACAACAATCCCCTTCGACTATAAACAGATATTTCCTGCAATTAGCTATAATTTCGAAGCGGTGACAAATTGTGGCGAGGCCTGAACGGCCCTGAGTTCGCTAAGTGGTGCCACAAATCCAAGATGGTACGGTATGGCACTAATATCGATGGGGATCGACCCCAAGGGAGGCGATTAGCTTCTTGAACTTTGACTGCATTCTGAATACTTTAAGCAGGAATGCAAACATATGGAACGAATTGCTCTAGTCGATAAGAATGCTTATTCAATGTTGTTGCGCGACCTTGTTCGAAATTGTCTAGTTAATTGATGTAGCAGATTCGTTAGGTCCCCATTTTGTTATTTTTGTGTTTTGTTTTTGTTGGATTGTAGCCTGTGTCTATAGTAAATTGTAATAATAATTTATGAAATACTGTTTTGTTTCTAACGTTTCGAAAAATCTTTTCTATATATAATACAACAATAAAAACAACACTTTTAACCGCGACGGCGGGGGGGGGGGGGGGGGGGGACAAGCGGGGGGGGGGGGGGGGGAAAAAAAATTTTTTTAAAAAAAAAAAAAAAATTTTTTTTTTTTTATATTATTTTTTTTTTTTATAAAAAAAAGGGGCCCCCCCCCGCGGAAAGTATAAAAAAAAAAAATTTTTAAAAAAAAAAATTAATTTGGGGGTTAAAATTTTGGGGGGGGGGGTCAAAAATTTTATTAAAAATGGCGAGGGCATTAAATGTTTTACTCTAAATTAGAATTTAATTTATATTAAAAGAATTCACGACAACGGCTGGACATAACCAATTGAGCTAGCGTGTCCTACACGTCACCGTCGTATTCTTTTGACCTATTGATATATGCACCTTTTGCGCAGCGTAATTTCAACCTTAAAACATACAAATTAAGTTTTAATGTCTTATGCTTTCCAGCGTAAGAAAATATTGAAGATGAAATTAAAAAGCTTTCCGTTCGAAACGGACTTCACCCAAAAACTTTCCTTATAATATAAGTGTTATGTAACGGAAAAATCGAGAATCAATATTTACTTACCACAATAAATAAGACTCAAAAGTGACGTGAATGTTAAAATATCCATAACTGTTCCTTACTGCCGCTCTATTGGGATTTTAAAGCGCGAACTATCCCTTCTGTTCATGTTACTTCTCTTTTTCTCTCATCTGAAACAAACAATAATATTATTAGGACTATAATTAAATTGCTATTTTCATTTGGACGAACTAGCCTACACTGCGGTCCTAACCTCAATAGCGAAATACCTAAACAAACAATTTTATATTTAATTATAGTAGCTTATTAGTTTTTATTTCTTTTTACTATTACAATAAAAGCATTTTAGGCAATCCTACAGCAAAAAGTTATATAGAATTTTGTTGGCTCAAAAAGACCGTAGTAAAAAAAAGCCCCTGGTGTGGTTTTTATAAAAAGTATTTTTGGGGTCTTTAAAGAAAAAAAAAGCATCCGAGATGTCGGGTCGTAGTTAAAATACATTTTACATAAGCTAACTTATATATTTTGTGTCTTTAAGCATTCATAGAGATTTATTTTTTAAATAGTATTATAGTCTGATGGTAGAGAATAAATAGATCTAAATCTAAAGGGTTACATTCAGTAACTTAATTAAATCTTGTGTCAACTCATCCAAAATCAAATCAATAGCTGACAGTCAAAATAATCTGTGGTGTCAATAACAATGTAACGATTTGGATTGACAGTTTCGTAAATGAGGAGTGATGTTTCCTTTCCATTATTCTGGTTAATAATTTATAAGTTATATTAATTTAAATGGTACAAAATGAAGATCCTTAAACATAATTGACTGTTAAATAAATTCAAATAAAACAAATATCTACGTCCAAATTACAAAAAAATGGATATCAAAAGATTTTTTATGCATACTTTATTAATTCTCCAAAAAGTTCATAAATACAGCAAAAAAAAAGGCTCCTTTATTTGAAAAAAATATTACAATTTGGAATATATTAAGCGCGAGAGTCGGACCCACGACAGACATTGTCTCTATCATGCCATTACTTCCTACTACAATCATTGTTACCTATCAACATAGCTAAATAATTCTCACGTGCAACGTGAAAATTATAAAGATTCTAGGTTAAAAATAATTTAACTAGCTTAAGATTTTATAATAATCACTCTAACCCCTATATCAGAACCCTTTCTATCTTAAGCCTTGTCCAATCAAATTATATAGTTATAAAAGTCATAATATAAATGCCCCTAATCTTGTATTAAGCACAAATTAATTTGACTCAACTGCACTTGATGAAAACTTCCGACGTGAAGGATAAGCATAGAATGGGAGTGTGTTACACAATGAGCCAAGTATCAAATAGTTTTATTGGCACAAAATGTGGGTCAACTATGTGATCTCGTTTGCATACAACGAATGAATAATTTGTAAGCGCAATTGTATGCCAAAATATAATTTCGAATCTTTTAGATGAAAAATCTTGTGTAATGTGAAAACTACAAAGTTAGTTATAAGTCGGATGCTGTGCCTAGTTTTGTTATTAATTATTTGAGGGACAAAGGATACAAGTAAAGAAAACAAATATATTTCTTATATACCTATTTTTTAACAGAATAACCTGCCTGGTATAAGCCTGGGGTTGGCTGGATGAAAAATGAAACGTTGTCTGTACTTAAATAAAACACTTTAACGGTTTAAAACGCGATATATTAGTTAAACTTATTTGAAAATGATTTTTAACTTCGGCCCGACGTTTCGGATGCTTTGCAGCAGCCGTGGTCACGGGGAGACTGTTAAAAATCATTTTCAAATAAGTTTAACTAATATATCGCGTTTTAAACCGTTAAGGGTGTTTTATTTAAATGTGTACTACTCGCGTAAACTATAGACGTTGTCTGTATCTCAAAGTGACTAATTTTATTCTTAGCAAAATAGGTAAACTGACAAACACAAATTGCAATACTGTCTGTAGTTTACGAGAGTAGTTACACATTTGAATAAAAATGTTTAACGGTTTCAAACGCGATATATTTTAGTTAAACTGGTTTGAAAATTATTTTTAACAATAGCCCGACGTTTAAGTCTCCCCACGGCTGCTGCAGAGCATTCGAAACGTAAAAATAATTTTCAAACAACTTTAACTAAAATATATCGCGTTTTAATCCGTTAAAGTGTTTTATTTAAACAAATTGTAATATTTACTCTACTCTAAAGTTTAAAAATGCAGTCTATTTTGAGAGTACCTAAGAGAAAAACACAAAACAGGTCAATGGGCAAATTATACCTCTTTTCAGGAAACAGACCAACTTATAAAGCGAGTCTACATTTAAGTCGTAACAAACGTTTGTCTTAGTTATTGTTTAAATACATACATATTTTATTAAACTATAGAATTATTTTTTGAGAACATGAAAAAGAAATAGTGTAAATTATATTTTCTTATAATGTCAGAGAAAGACACAAAAACACAAACACACTTAATGGAAGATGAAATACACCAGCCATACAGCATCTACACAAGGTGCCCTGTCGACCTATTTTGGCTTGTGATATCTCAATTAACTATTACTACTTCATAAACTCGCATAAATTCTTATATAGCATCATAATATTCATAGAGTAAGCTTATGCAATATTGCTTTAACAGCCGTAAACAGCGTAAAAATATAGACATAGATAGTGTTCTCCGAAATAAGCTGCAGCGTCCACGATAACATCGGACGTTATAAATAAAAGAGATTAGGAACATTATAACAGAACGTTATAAAGCTTCTAAACTTAGCTATATTTATAAAATACTAGCTGTGTCAGCGACTTCGTCCGCTAAGAATATTTATTTTCTGCATCCAAATTTGTTTTTGTAGTACTCCGCTTCATATTATATATTTAAGTCGTTACTCACGACGTTTATCGCGTCGTCCCCGTCTTTCTTGCAAGCTAATCTTAAAAGATAGACATATAGCGTCCTTTTTTAGATCATTTAAAGAGGAATCATTCTTTCATACATATTTTTTGTATGTCGTGAACCATTTTCACAGCGTACGCCTCGGAAATCAAAATATTGAATATTTTTTCCAATTGTGTTCACATTTCTCGCTCTATCGTCGCTTGTATTAGTTACAGGGCGATGTTTCATAGCCTTCCTTGATAACTGTTCTAACCAACACAAAAAGATTTTTTCAATAAGAACCCGTAGTTCCTGAGATTAGCGCGTTCAAGCAAACAAACAAACTCTTCAGCTATATATATTAGTATAGATAAAGGATCGTGATTTTCTCTTTTAATATTGATTTTTTTATTATACCTTGTAGTTGTTATATGTATTAAAGATTTAACTAGGGCATATCAAAAGAGTAAAACCAAGGAACTTATGCAATAATAAATTATATTCAATCATATTGGCCAAAAATAATAGGATTTATTATTTATGTTTGTTGTCAATGGTCGCTATAAGACCGATATTAACTAGAAAATGTATAAAAGGAAATCATAAATGATGAAGCAGAAAATTACCGAAATGGGTCATGTTTTATGACAATAAATATCTATTTGTGGCAGAATAGCTTCACTAAACACTGTAATTAATATTTTAATTTTAATGAGCAGTCTAATCGACTGGTTACGGGATAATATGGTTGAATGAAACCTCATTATTCGAATAAATCTGAAATGTTATTATTTAATGAGTTAGAATCTGCCTATTAATTTAATTCAAAACTATTGAATAACAAATATGTGTATTTATTAATAAGTATAAGTGGATGTTATATAATTAATTTACGGGCACAAATCATTCAAATATGCACTACCGTTTTCAAACGCGATACATATTAGTTAAACTTACTTAAATATACAGCTTGTATACAGCTTGACGTTTTGGATGCTTTGCAGCAGCCATGGTCACGGGGAGACTAATATATATCGCGTTTTAACCAGTTAAAGTGTTTTATTTAAATGTGTACTACTCGCGTAATCTACAGACCGATAACAAAGCAGCTTTGTGTGCTTGGATTTTTTTTCATTTCACGTGTTAATAAAGGGCGAACAATTTAGAAAAAATATAGCAATTACACGTGATAGTTTTACTTTAAAAGCTATAAATATCCTGTTCCTTGCTTAAGAGCTTTTAAGTTTTACAATAAAAATCCATCTATGTCCGCTTAGAATATGCAACATCTGGCTTCCATAAAGTATGTTACAGCTGACCCAAAACAATATATATTACATTTATCTACCGCGTTAACTAAACTTTTAGTTTTTACATTGATATCAAGATGTTAATATAGTATTGTTTGTATTTACGCGAGTAGAACACATTTAATTAGAGTTTCCAATTGAAAACTTATTTTTGTGTTAGTTAGAACGTTTATCGAGGATGGCTAGAAGTTATAAAACATCGTATTGTGACTAATACAAGCGAAGATACAGCGGGAAATGTGAAAACATTGGGAATATTATTCATCATTGTGGCCTTCCGAGGCGTACGCTGCAAAAACGGTTCAAAATACTCAAAAAATATGTAATAGAGAATAATTCCTTTTTAAATGATCTAAAAAAAGTCCGCGACGCTATATGTCTATCTCTTAAGATGAACTCGCAAGACCGACGGGAACCGAACGACGGGTCGCGACTGTTTTCGTGATATTTATAAAGATCTACATCTTTATTAACAAATTTGTATGCCCAAAATAACTATTCTATGCGGACGAAGTCGCTGACACAGCTAGTTTAACGATAGTTGCTTTAGTAGTAATAATGAAAAATATCTTATATTATTTTTTAAAAGGAATATGATACATTTTTCTTGGCTTAAAACGCACAAACGGTTGTAATTTTTATTGCTCTTAAGAATTCAGTCGTTTCAAGAACCAATATATTTCAGTAACCAGCCAGTCGACAGAGTTTGTTCAAGTGGTAATAAATTACAGACTTAACCTTGATTTTGTTTTGGTTAGCCGCCGGTTGCATATGCGTGAGAACTTGAACTTGGAGTGAGATCAGAACAGTACACTTCAGTGTTATGGTTTAAAATATTGACTCTCAACGTAAACAATGAATTGATTAAGAAAATAGCTGGCGGTTAGGGA